CTCTTCTGAGTGTGCTGCTGTCATTTAATTTTATTTCTCGCCAAGCAAACCTGTGCTTGAAGCAGGAGCTTTGGAAGCTGGACATCCTGTACTCCACAAGAATCCATGGTGTTCCTGAGAAAGGCTTCTTATCAATTAAATTTGACAATTTGATTCTTAATTAGCTGGCAGGACACGTGGATGGTAGTTTTTGTGACTAAACATAAAGCCTTCAAACGGGTGGGCTTTTTTCCACCAATGCTCTTCTCCTTTTCTAATAAGCTGTGCCTTCCAAAGAAGTTTTGGATAAAAAGTCAAATCAAAATAAACTTCTTCAGAAGTAAAACATAAATGATTGCTCCAGGTAAAATAAAGGCCAGTAGCAGTTACAGAATTATTTTCAAGAAATATGCATCTGGTAGCACCTTAGCACTCATGTATAAAAGATAAACTATTGATATTTTTAAACTGATCATAAAACTTAGCCCAGTAAGCTGTTAATGAATGCCAAGTAGGCTATCCTCCAGCTCCCAGACCTGCCTCATAATTCTGCACAACAGTGTGGGGTGTGTATGTCTGTGTGTGTGTGTATGTGTGTGTGTGTGTGGTACAAGGATCCTTGTACAGGCAAAGATGATTTATTAATCTGGTAACACCTGTAAGCCACTTTTCAGAGGAATATTTTTAACTGCCTGTGATTATAATTTCAGTGCATGTTTTGAAATACATGTGATCACAAAAGAAAAAATCATTTACACTATAGAACAGGATAAATATATCTTTTGAGTGAGAAAGTTACAAGGACTCTAACACCATCACTATTTGTTGCCATGGATACTAAAAACGTGAGGCGGAATTTCTTCCCATTCATACTCACAACCCAATAAGTTCTATGTACCACTCTGTTGGAGAGCTATGGTCCCTAGATTAACACACCCTGGTCCAGGGACTGTCGCCACCACCCCACATCTCTCACCCATGGGAAAGATGCATGCATCAGCATGCACATGTGTGCAAGGGACTTACTAAAGCAGAGGTGTCAGCACACACACATGTGGCCTCCAGCAGTGCACCACCTCACTGCTGGTGAGCGAGAGCCTGAACACTGTCACCTCAAAAAGGTCACTCTGTGTCAATTCAGTGCTCCTGGTGCTACCAAGAGCTAACTTACAGTAGAGTATTTTTGCTGCTGTCCACGACGCCACTCACCAAGGTGAGGAGATGGTCATCCAATATCCCTTATGCTCATGCACCCAAACCTTCTCTGCACTGCTGCCAGGATAACATGTTTTACACAATTACTTCCGCTGGGAAAAATTTACTTCCCTATGTCCAAGCACTGTGCCCAAGATTTCATTCAAGTTTCCACATAGAAGTCCATAACTGGGTTTATCATCTCCTCCTCAAAATTGGTTTCTCTTCCTCACTTGTTAGGCTAGGGCAGAGTAGGGGCTGAACAAGAGAAAGTTCTGGAGAGATGCATTCCAGAAGGAGAGTGCTGTACAATATAAGAAAAGCAGCAAGCTAAAAAACGAATGAGGTAAAATATTTTCTCCCTATTTTGGGGAACAAATGTTAAGGAGTTTGCAGCCCGGTGTAAAGCAAGTGGGTGGATCGGGAGTCTGGCTCCATGGTGGGAAGAGATGCCTATTAATCATTTAAATCACTAATGATATTACGCCCGTGTTAAAAAATCTTCAGTGGCCACCCCTCCATCTACTAAACTAGGCACACACCCTACCTACAATCTTCTTATGCTTTCTGGCTTGCTACTTTATCTCATACCTTCCTGCTGGAATATTCTTCAGAAATTTCTCCTGTTCTTTTAACAGCCATCTCAGACACCATCTTCTTTGGAATGACTTTCTTGACGTACTCCCACCTCTCCTAACAGAAAAGAATCTCTTGCTGCCTATAATCTCTGGAGCATTTTTCTTAGTGCTTGTCTTCCTGTCCCTTTCATCATCATCCACTCTGTTCACCTTGTGCATTACTGGATTTGTAATTCCTGAGAGTAGAGACTGCTTCATTTATCTTTACACCTCTAGGGGTGCTTGACATCATGTCTTTTGTGAGTAGAATTCTAAGTATGTGTCTTCAATTGCACTGAAATGATATCTATGCAAAAAACAAACACAGAAATGGTCTTCCTGACACCTCACATATCACAGACCAAGCTGGCTAGTATGCGTTCGCTAGCTATAACTTAATGATTGATTAGCAACCTCTGGTGACATTTCGCTTGCATGTGGTCTTCTCCTATACAGTCTTGTGGATTAGGATGTTCCTTCCTGCAAGCCATTCAGCTAGTTCTCACTCCAGAAAGCCTTTCCTAATCCCAGGTCACCTAGGCGTGTAACCTGTGTGACCCCTGGATCCTATACTTACATGGCTGCCATATTTGGTTTCACACTGCTGTCACTATCTTGAAATCCTTAACACATTTTAAAATGGATCTCATGTTTTCATTTTGAAATGGAATCCACAGATTCAGCAGCCTGCCTACATCCCCTCTGCCATATGGTCTTGGCATCCGTGGCACATGCTGCCACTGCAGTCATCACTCAGAACTTTAATTTTCTGTATACATCTGTCTACTTCTCTGTATGCCTCCATACACTTTAAACACTGGTAAGGCAAAGAAAGAATATGAAAAGTAAAAGAAAGACAGAGAGAACGAGGAAGGAAGGAAGGAATTCATTCATATTGTTATATCGACATAGCTCAGACTAGCACTGTATGCTTAATCAGTACTTACTCATTGGATAAATGGATGAATATGGGACAAGAAGAAAGAATACGCTAATTAATGAGAATTTGCTCACTCTTAGCCCATTGGGCAGTGAAAGCAATGAAGCCCTTCACTTGCCGTCTTCAGATAACAGAAGACAGGTACAGAAGTTACTCTCAAGAAAGGTAATATTAGTGGAAAGAAGAAAATGAGCAAAGTAGAGGCATGAAAAAAAATGATTAAGCAATTTGCAAATGTTAATCCAGCAAAAAGATCTATTTTGGACACAAAGATAGAGTCATGAAGCTAGCAAAAAGTTCTACTGGAACTAGCCAAAAGATCTATTTTGGACATAATATAGTCATGAAACTAATATAGAGTGTTCTTGAAGGAAATAGTATCTTATTGGTTAAATGATCTGTGCTCCTTTTTCCTAATGTTTTATCTAAGTATGAACTAAAAGCGACTCACTAGAAAGACACACCTGTCCCTGTCTTTACTTGGTATCATGTCATCCACCCAACCATTTTAGTGATCTCTGAATTTCATTTTCTCATTGGTAGTTGGTGATCAGGTAGGATCTCTGGATTTTGATAACTTTATAATTTTTAGCCCTGGTCATCTAAAAGTGCAATTCAAAGTGTCCTCATTCATTGAGTTGCACTGATCAAAAGTATCATGAGTTATTTTTAAAATCACATACTAGGTTTTTTAATCACTAGTGGATTCCTTCCCTCCTGTGGAAGATGCAGTCTGTTTGGAACAGCACTTATTCCCCTCTCCATCTGAGGAGATACACAGGTATCTCGTAGTCATCCTGCTGGGTTAGGAATGTTCTCGACAGCCTCCAATCTCTCTGCTCAGTCACAGCCTGCGTTTCTGGGTGGGGGCCGGCAACACAGTGCTCCAACCGCTCTCTGCTGCGTAACCTCGGATGAGTTACACACTACTCTTAAATCTCAGTGTTTACATCTGTACAATGGAAATGATATTTCTATGTAAATTTCTGAGGATAATGTGGGCAAAGCAGGAAAGGGGGGAATAAGTACAATTTCAGCCTCGTTTCCACTGTTGTGTGAATGGTAATAATTATCACAGACATGGGCCCCCACTCTAGTTCTCTGTTACTGTAAAAAGAAAGAAGAGATAAATAGCATCAGTCAGAGGTCAACAGAATTATTCTCTAAAGGGCCAGATAGTAAATATTTCAGTCTTGTGAGCCGGATTGTCTCTGTTGCCATTACTCAGTTTCACAATTGTAAATGAAAGCCATCTCAGACAATGCATACATGAATGGGTGCAGCTGTGCGTTAATAAAACTTTACTTGCAAAAAAAGATGTTCAGGGCCAAATTTGCTTCCCAGCCATAATTAGCTAATCCCTACTTACAGGCCCTTGGACCTTCTGAGTCAAGTGTGGTAGACAGACCTGTGAGACTTGTCAGGGCAAGCCAAGGGGAGGCAGAGATTAATTCCTATGTCGGACAGAGGAACTGAGAAAGCAGTATTTATTGTATGACCTTCTGAGGAATAACTAAAAGTGAAAGATACAGCCTGGAACATTAGCCCAGGTTCTTAGTTTGTCGTGTTTATCTTGCATTCAAAGTAGTAGCTTCAGCTTTGAAACAGAGCCTTCTCTTTTATTAGACATTTTCCTTGCAGCTCAGCTCCCCTTTGATTTCGGAAGCCCCGTATTTCTAGAAATAAAGCCGGTAGGATGACTGCTCCTGACTGCATACTTAGAGGGCCTATCTGTAGTAGTTTGACTACAAGGAAATGGATGGTATCTGGATAGCGGAAGAAATCATCCCCTTTTTCCTCTTATTCTTATTAGTCAAAAAGAAATGATACAGTGGAATACAGACGGCAATCCACCATCTGTACCCATTTGCCTATGGTGCCGAACATGAGGTGGAATCTGCATCTTTGAAAGAAGAATGGCTACAGCAAGAGCCCTCAGACAGGAGAACAAGAATCACTTCTGAGCCTTTCTTAGGGTCCCTACCTGGACATAGAGCTGCTTGGGAAATTTAGATACTTCAACATGAACGCTTAAATACGCCATGGCGCCTATACTAAATCTCACATGCAACCTTTCCTTCATCCACCACTTGGAAAGGACACCCATTTACATTGTATATCATTTTGTATTTTGATGCTCAAAATCTCTGGCACTTACTAAGGGCTTTTATGATTTCACCTATGCCCATTCAAATGGGACTGATGTTTTATTCATTCTCTAGTGATAAGATGAGGTTCTTACCAAATTTCTCTCTTTTGTTGTTTTACAGTTTTCTCCTTGTCTTTGGTTGCTTGATTTTGTCCGTGTTTTCTACCATCCCTGAGCACACAAAATTGGCCTCAAGTTGCCTCTTAATTCTGGTAAGTGAAACATTTGAACAAGAATGTGCATAAAGTTTATGTAATTCCTGTTTATAACATTTTCGCTATGCGTTGTATCACACAAAATGTTCTGTCTGGGGAAATAAAAGAGTTTTACTGTGAAAGATGAACGTTTCAAAGATCACTGAACTCTACTTGTTTCACCTGTAGTCCATCTTCAGGAAAACACAGAAATATTCAAGATCGCTACTGTGTAGCAGTGTCTTTGGTTAAAGGGCTTCATATAAAGAATGCAATATTTGAAAGCGGAAAATAATTATAAGCAGAGTCGATGTCATGACTGTCTCCACTATTGCTAAAGGCTATAGTAAAAGCTCTCAGGGTAGTGAGTTTTTTCAGTAACTGCAATTTAGCAATAGCTAAGTATAATTGGCGAAGAACTGTGAGAATATGGCATCTCATAAAAAGACAGAAGGTTCCTTCCTGCTCTTTTCAAGTAATAGACTGTATTATGAGTTTCTCTGGTAATGCAGTTACCTGGTGAGAAATTCTGCAGCGTTCTCTTTCCATTATGCTGTCAATCCTCAGCTACGCAGAATTACTCAATTCACTTTCAGATGGAGAAAGGCCCCTAGATATTTCAGACTGAATTATTCTGGGATTTTTTAATCTCTTATGCTTTCTATTGTAATAAAACTATAACACTTGATACCCAAATAATATCTGATTGGAAATTTGGTTCCTATTCATCCATTTGACCTGCTCACTTAGTCCAAAATTATCAGACCTGACAGTCTCGGAACCATCTGCATGAACTGGAACGGCTCACTTTTGTAAGCCCTAGTGGAATACAGAAGGAGGAGAGATCATTTAATATGTTTTATGTACCCTAATAAACAGAGATAGGTTATGTAGAGCAGTAAGCATTTAATATGAGAAGAATATTATTACCATGAAGTGGAAACCAAATAATTTGACTCCTATAACCTGAGAAGTGGGCAGGTACTTTTCCCACCTTTGCTCTCTGATGGCTTGTTTGTGCGTGGGGTTGCCAAGATATCAAATCATTCAGACAATGTTAGGAGGAAAACATCTTTGATTTTGAAACAAATCTATCCCAATTTGTTTCCATACAAATTGTGCTTAGTTGCAGATTTCTAATGTTAATGTTGCAGTTGCTATTTCAAACCCCAAGGTGGAGAACAGAGAGACCAAAGGATACATAGGGATGTTTTCCATTTACAAATTTGGGTGGAAAGTGGGATGGGGTAAGCCCTGCCTGCACCTTGCATTGTAACAGGTGACCTCAGCCCAACGGTGAAGGCACCACTGGTTTTAAGTCTTCATCCTTAACTACAACCAAGAATTTTTGATTGACAATATCAATGTGATTTTCAGATTTAGAACATGAGAAACTGGATCTACTGCATGACTAGTGATGTATATTAGAAATAAATCACATCAGATAACCCAGGAAAAGGTTTCTTTCCTATGCCAAGAATTCAAAATGTTAGGTTACATCTTCCAAGTCTCTGAAATATAAATTCAATCAGTTTCTATGTGGTTCAAAGAAACCCATGAAATTACAAAGCCCAAAATTGATTAGAATTTTTACTTTGAAAATTTGTTGGACAGTGAACAACTAATCAGTGCTTAGTAACTGGAGTGTATTTTGCTGATAAAAAGTATACATGGCCAATCTGCGTGTGTGTGTGTGTGTGTGTGTGTGTGTGTGCACGTGTATGTTGCTAGAAACTGACCTCAGGACCTTATCTACTGTAGGCAAGAAGCACATTGAGCTCCAATCCCAGCCCTAAAGTTGTCAATCTCCAATAACTTTGGGCTTAGGAAAGTAGAAAGAGTCACCCGGCTATAAAGCCTTTGTCCTCAACAATGTGTGGTTAGTGCTGTAAACGGCATTTGCAGGTGTTATAACATGGCTTTCCCTGGGAAGAGAGTTCGCCAATTATCTTCCTTTTGTGCTGTTTTAAAGCCAAAGTGCGTTCTAAAGACCAACCTCGAAATCTGTGGACTATGCTGCAAAGCTAAAATTTAATGGTGCTATTCAACCATATTTCGTCTAAAAGCTGTATTTTATTTAGAAAAAAATTCTAATAGTATCTTTGGGTTTTGGGGGTGTTAGCAATTTAAAAATCAGAAAAGCTTATATATTTTAATTCTTTTCTACAAAGAGTTAACACAGTATATCACAAAAATTCAGTCAATTGTAGAACATTGAAAAAAGTCATGAGAAACCCAAATGACTTAGAAAAATCTCTTATTTGCTATTTTATAACATATAAGTTTGAGAGGGCTATTCTGATTGCAAAATCTATCCTTTGAGCATCTAACCTAAAAAAATTCAAAGAACACAATTGTGTCTAGCAGCGATTTTAGTTCCCAAAATGGATCATATTTCAAAAATTAGCATCCAAAGAGTAGCAAGAGTAGCTTCTGAAATGTTTTCAAAGACAAGAGTCTCTTTCTCTCTCTCTCTTTCTTTTTCTTTCTTTTTTTTCCTTCCTTCCTTCCTTCTTTCCTTCCTTCCTTTCTTCCTTCCTTCTTTCCTTCCTTTCTTCCTTCCTTCCTTCTTTCCTTTCTTCCTTCCCTCCCTCCCTCCCTCTTTCCTTTCCTCCCTTCCTGCCTGTCTTTCCTCCTTTCATCAAAGATAAAATCTTGCTATGTTGCCCAGGCTGATCTTGAACTCCTGGGCTCGAGGGATCCTCTTTCCCAGCCTCCTGAGTAACTGGAATCATAGCCACAAACCACCACACCCAACTTGAAGTCAATTTTGCATACCTTGCTTTTGGTGTTCACTCAACACCACCAGTGGATTAATTCAGAATACCTGTAAAATCATCGAAAGTGTATATTTGTTGGAAGTCCTCCTTTGTGAGTATCTTCAGAAGGTGCGATAATAAAACGGTGAATGCCGCTGCCTAGTATCATCCAACAGAAAAGCAGAGTGGTGAAAACATTCCAGTGTGTCCTCATCGATCTTATTCAAAGGGTTTCTCACTGTCTGGCTTCTATTTTTCCCCCAAGTCAAAATGACACTAAAGGTAAATGTTTTGAATCAATTCAGGACATTGATACAGCTAGAACAGCACAAATAAATAAAGACATTTATGAAAGAGTACTGCTGGAAGTGCTGCAGAAAGTGGAAAGTATAAGGGGATAAGTATCTTCAAAATGAGGGTGAGTATTTTAAGCAGGATTAATGGCAATGGTTCTTTTACTGTAGAATATTTTAAAATTTAAAGATGCACTATATTTTTCAATTACATCGTATCTTTTTCCATCCACAATGGAGTGAAGTTAAATATTAATAACAGAAATAAAACTGAACTGTTTGCAAATTTGTGGAAATTAAGCAATACATTTTTAACAAATGGATTAAAGAAGAAATAACCAAAAAACTTAGAAAATATTTATAAATGAATAAAATCAAAGCACAAGCTCTCAAAGTGTATAGGATATAGTTAAAGCAGTGCTCAGGAGGAAATTTATCACTATACATTATCACATTAAAGAGCAACAAAGATCTGAAATCTACAAGCTAGTTATACAATTTATATAACAAGAAAAAGAACCAAAAGCTAGCAGGAAAAAGGAAATAATAAAGACCACAAAGCAGATAAATGAAGTAGAGAATCAAAAATAAAAATAAAACCAAAAGTTGATTCTTTGAAAAGATTGGAAAAATTGACACACCTCTAGCTACATGGACTAGGAAAAAAGAATGAACAATTCAAACTAATAAAATCAGGGCTGGGGATTTAGCTCAGCGGCAAAAGCGCCTGCCTGGCAAGCGCAAGGTCGTGAGTTCGGTTCCCCGTACCCGGAGAAAAACAAAAAAAAAAAAACAAACTAATAAAATCAGAAATTAAATGATTCTACAGAAACAGAAAGGATTATGAGAGTACTATGAACAAACTGAATAACTTCCATGAAATGAAGATATTCCAAGAAACACAAAACCTACCAAGACTAAATCATGAAGAAATAGAAAATCTAAATAGGTGTGTAACTTGTAAGAAAATTTAACCAGTAATCAAAACTCTTCCCAAAAAAGGAAAGTGTGGAACTATATGGCTTCACTGGTGAATTCTAATAAGTACTTAAAGAAGCACTGATATCCATCCTTGTCAAACTTTTCAAAAATTAAAGATGAAGGAATAATTTCTGATTCGTGAGGCACCATTTTCTTGATACCAAAGCCACTATATGAAAAGAAAACCACAGACCATAGCCCTTATGAATACTGATGTAAAAATCAACAACAAAATACTATTAAACCAAATTTCACAGCATATTAGGGGAGTATAAAGAGTGACAGATAGGATTTATTTACTGGAATGGGAGGCTGGTTCCAAATACAAAAAAATCAATCAGTGTAATTCACCATATTAGTAAAATAAAGGGAGAAAAACATATGATCTTTTCAATTGATGCAGAGAAAGCATTTGGCAAAATCCAACACCCTTTCATAATTAAAACAAAAAAGGACAGCAACAACATCAACAAAAACCTCAACACTGAGATTCCATCTCAGCTCAGAAAGAATGGCAGCCATCAAGAAATCAACCAATAACAAATGCTGGAGGGGTTGTGGGGAAAAAGGAACACTTTTCCATTGCTGGTGGTTGTGTAGACTGGTGCAACCACTGTGGGAATCAGTGTGGAGATTCCTCTGAAAATGAGGATTAGAGGTCCGATTCAGCCCAGCCATTCCCCAGAAAAAATGAAAATATCACACCACAGGGATATATGTGCACCCATGTTTATACCAGCACAATTTGTAATAGCTAAATCTGGGAAACAACCCACAGGCCTATCAACTGAGGAACTAATAAAAAGATGTGGTATTTTTATATAATGGAGTATTATTCAGCTATAAAGAAAGCCAAATTCGGGGCTTTTATAGGTAAATGGATGCAACTAGAGACCATACTCATAAGTGAAATAAAGCAGACTCGCATCATATTGTATCCCTAGTGTAAGAAACTGAAAGAGTAAATAAATCCAAAAGGTACAAT